TCGGCTAGCCTGAGACAGCAGCTCCACACTCTAAGTCCTAATCTGATGCCCTGCCGGCACTGCTTCCGGCCATCCTTAACCCCGGTTCAGGGTCCACTCTGTGTGGACATGCTAGTTCGAATTAGCAAAACACTAATTTGAACTAGTTTTTAAGTCTAGATGCACTAATTCGAATTAGCTTAGTTCGAATTAACTAACTAAGTTAGTTCGAATTAGTGCTGTAGTGTAGACATACTCTTGTTTCCAAGATTTAATGTCTCCAAGAAAATGGCATTGAGTCCCCTCCCCCCAAATCCCCATCTGTCCTGTATCTAGTGTTTGGAAAGTATGAGTTGTGATGTTGTCCTGAGTTTTAGGACTAAGCAAAGAGTTGCTTGTAATTACTGGAAGGTAACCCTGACAAATCAAGTTGTGAACTATAATCTCTGTGCACTTTTCCTGTTTGGGCCATATTTTGATCCCTGTTCTGGCATGTGAGAGTGTGGTGCTTCTTCAGTGGGGCTTCACACAGGGGCAGCACCCAAGCTACATTTTTCTACCTGCAGTATCAGGGCCCTGTGTATTATTTAAAAATAAATAAACAGACCTTACCCATTTACATTCATCCAGTGTTTGTATATACAGATACAGTCCCTGACCTACTCTGGCTTCTGCTGGCAAAGGGACATATACTCAGTGGCAGAAAATTCTGCAGGAGGAGAGCTTGTAATGGAGTTAAGCATCCAAATCCATTCCTCTAATGAGGGAGTGAGGGACAGGCATGTCATGGATGTACTTAGTCAGCACATTCTCACTACAGTCTCTCCCTGCAGATCTCTGCCAGTGGAAGTTAAAGCTACTGCCCCAAAATGCAACCCCCAAAGAAAAGCAGTAGCAGAAACATCACATCAGTGGCGGCCCATCAATACAGGGGAACTAGGCAGTTGCCTAGGGCGCCAAGATAAATGGCCGTTGAGGGCTTTGGAGGTGGGGGCACCGATCGCGCGTTTCGCTTAGGGCTCCAGTTGCCGGCAGCTCGTCTAGGGCTGATTCTGCATCACATCGCTTATTTTAGGGCACAACAGCTCTTTGTGCCAGCAGTGTTCAATCTGTTCCAATGTCTGAAACCCATTTTCTGAACACCGTTAAAGCGTCTACAGTAGTCAGAGTAGTAGTCAGAGACAGCAACCTACATAACTCTGTGTGTTTGGAACAGAGAAGCTGGGTTAATCACCTATTCTGTTACAATCAGACAAGGACACTGGTCAAGAGGACCAGATGCAGCAGCAAGCAGAGCTGTCAGAGTGAGGGGATTGTGGAGTGCAACCTGAACTGTGGGACCACTGAGCCCTTTGTCCTACCAATCCGGTGTGTCCCTCTTATGCTGTGATGATGTTGCCAAGCTTCACATCTCTGGCAACTGCTGCAGTTATGCAGACATCCAAAGGCAGGGACATAACAAACTGAGTTGCATGAATGATTCTCAGCCACTCATGAACCATCAATAAGGAGGCTCCAGCCAGTTTTCACCAGCTCCCCAGCTTGAACCCCAGAACTCAACCATCTTGCACTAGTCTGAAGCCTGGCCAGAGAAAATTCATTACATGGTCTGCCTGCCCTCAATGCGGAGAGCACATGCACTATCCTTTGTAAACCTGGGCTGAGATTTCCCAACCAATTCAATCACAACACAGCGTGGCAGGTAAAATATGGAACAGGTTCAGGCCTGTACGCAGGCGGGTGTGAAAGCACCTCCCCTCCATGATCCCCTAAGTAAGGCTATGTCTACACTGCAGGCTTCTTTCGGAAGAAGCTTTTCTGGATGAGATCTTTCAAATTTCTTTCAAAAGAGAGCGTCCACACTACAAAAGTGCATCGAAAAAGCGATCTGCTTTTTCGAAAGACAGTGTCCTCATTGATTGGATGCTATCTCGCATTTAAGTTGTGATTACTATGAACGGAGTGGCCACCAGGGCACATGTGCTTTTTCCTGGAGCCTCTCGTTTAAAAAAAATCCCTCTTCCCCATCCACACACCCCTTTTTCCGAAAGAGCTCTTTCAGAAAAAGGCTTCTTCCTCATAGAAAGGGGTTTACCATTGTCGGAAAACCCCCTGTGTTTTTTTGACTTTCTGTCAAAAGAACGCAATTGCAGTGTGAACATAAGTGTAGTTTTTCTGGAAAAACTCTGCAGTGTAGACATACCCTGAGCATGCTCCAGCTGGCCAGAGAAAGGCAGGAGTGGCACGCTGTTCAAGTCTCCCACCCCCATGCTCTGGCCGGCCAGGGGAAGGCTGGGGCTGATTTCCCTGCTTAGTTGGGCAACTATTGGGGGTGCATTCACACCCTTGTGGTCCACATTTACAAAAAAGCACCTCTCCCCCCAACACAGAAATTCCTGTGTACGGACCTGAGGTTGATAAATTACAAAAAGCGTGCAAGTAAGTGATCATAAGTAGTGAGCATAGAGATCAAAGCTGGTCACCTAAGAAATAAAATAAATTTGCTGGCTGAGTTCCATAATTGAAACAGGATTTGAATCAAGCAGTGGCTCATCCTGACAGATGGTATAGGTCCTCAGTACTTAGGCTGGGACGCTTTCCTAGCCTGGGACCACCCTCCCCCATCCAAAGTCTTTGTCCTCCAGATGTTTCTTCAGGTGTTGAGTTATGCATGAAGTGAGGCCAAGTCATAATGTCATTCCCTCTCATTGAGATGTGGGGGGTCTGACCCCACTGGTCAAGCAGACTCCGTTGCCTATGTGTTCTCTCTGCAAAGTCTTCCAGGATGGCTGTTGGGCAAGTGGAGTCCCTTTAATGGGCCATAATGGCTGCACATGTTGTAGCTATTTCAGTAACATACACCCAGCAAAATGTCCTAAATTCCCATGCAATGATAGCATGTGCAATCCAACAGAATATTAGTGTTCAACAGATCAAGACTTTTAATAAGATACCTCCTTAGGCATGCTGTATATGAAACATCACAGTGATATGACAGAGGTGAATATGGGGGATCCCAGGTGCTGCTTCGAGGTACAGAGTGCAATGCTCAGAAAAATTCAACAGAACTATTTTCTACTGGAAAATGCATTTCCATCAAAATGGAAATGCTTTGTGACGTGTTAATTTAACCACTGCTTTGCTTCAGAGGAAGTTTTGTCATCGGCAAAACAGCCCGTTTTGACAATTTCAGAACAAAACCTGCGATTTTCTTTTCTTTTTGAAATATAACCATTTGTTTCAAATGTTTAAAATATTTTATGTTTTATTAGGTATTAGATAATGTCAAAACCACACAAAATGTCTTTACATTTTCTTTTGAGACATCAGAGTATTACTTCAGAATTGACTTTTGTGGAGAACTTTAAATTGTTTGGCTTCTGTTCCAAATTAAAACAAAAACATACCTTGATCCTTTGTGAAACAGAATTCCATTCTCCTCACAGTCCTAGTAGCAACACTGATTATAGACAGTAACTTTAAGCTGAAATGTATGAAAGGTGCCGGACCAGATTGTCCGCTGTTAATCAGGATCACTCTACTCCAGTCTATTTAGTAATTGAAGTGTTACTCCCTTTCTTTTTACTTCTACTGCACTAACATATGTATAAAATATCAAAGAAACAATACTCTAACAAGCTGGTGTATCCAACCACTTATTCAAAAGGATGTTATTTTCTGAGTGATATTTTGTGTTATTTTCAGAGTAATTTGGAACAGGCAAGCCTGAGCCCACTGAGAATTGATTTTTGTGGCTTCAAATATTTAGAATTATAAGAGGAAATAACCCATTACGTGATAAACAAGGAAACATGGATACAATTACTTTCATGGTGTAATTTTATTCATTCTAGTTGCGCAAATGAGGAGCGAATACTGCCCTGAGCCCTTCAGTTCTGAATGCAAACTGTACAATCTATTATTAAACAAAGTCAAAAGCAATGTGAAAGATCTTGAATCTATTCAAGGCATGCACCTCATTACAGACTTAGCAAATTAAAACACAAATAGGATTAGAAAAGAATAATGTAACAATCTCCCACTATGGTCCCTAGAGCATTAAGTCATAAATTGGGTTTGCATTAAATTGTGCCTGCAGTATTGAATTCAGGAAAAGAGCTATACTCTGAAGATAAACCTTGCTGGGGAGCCAACGCTGGCATAGTGATGTGTTTTTGTGACCATACAGTACATTAGTTATCAACTAGGAGGACCCCCACAAAAAATTAGTATTGCAGATTGTAATTGGAATATATAGGTTATGTATAGCAATCATTGGCTGCAGATTTGTTAATCCAGTCTCTCCCTTGGCTGTTTTGCTGACTTTACTTCTCAGTTAAGATGTAAAGTGTAAATACTTTTCACTAGATCAACCCATGTGATGAACTTTACAAGCTATCTGGTTTGCATGAGTTCCTGCTACATTATCAGCTCTTCTTACCTAGAGGAAAAACATCATAGGCCAACCAAAGGTCTGAAGAGAATGAGTTTCCGCACTATTAGATGTATTCTGTTGTTATGGGAACTAAGTGATGTAAAAAAGATTTAGCTAATAAAGATCAGTCTTGGGCAATAGCTATACAAAATGTAACAAGGCCTTTAAAAAGTACTAATTTCTTTTTAAGAAGATACAGATTTTTGAGAAACACCATCAAGAAATAAATTGGGTCAGATTCATCCATGGTGCAGCTGAAATAAAGGCTATGGAGTTATGATAAGGATGAATTTGATTCACTTTTATTAAACAAGGATACCAGAAATATCTGTTTTTTACCAAAGAGTGCAAATAGCGACTCCTACATTTAAATTGCCTAATATTTTCCAGTATAAAGGATTCTTGTGTCCTTTTCTTCAAGAAGCTCTCACAACTCCATATTTTGTCTCATCCTTTTGATGTTTGACAAGAAAAATGCCCTCATGGTAGGGAAGTGCCTTTTCTTTGACCCGTGAATTTCCATGAGCTTTTGCTGCTACAAAATGTTAACAATCACCACTTCCCTTCTCTCATTTGCATTGGTCAGGAACATGTTGGCACCATGCTACAGTGAGAACCACATGTCTGAACATTCAAAATCTAATCCTGTGCCACCGTCAAAGCAGCAGACACTGATATGAGAATGTGTGGGAGCAGCCAGAGCATCTGGAGAGAAGCTGGTCTGAGCATGATGAACAAGGTATGTTAGTCTCCATGGGATATATAAATTGTCTAGGCAGCAGGCAGACCAGTACTGAAGACAATTTTGCACTTACTCTATTAAGTTTAGCCAACATAGCTACATAGCTATGTTGGCAAAAGTCCTGATATAGATGCAGCTATTCAAACAGAAGAATGCTTCTTCTGGCTTACTTAGTTAATATGTACAAGGAGATGTAGCTATGCTGTGTGATCGTACCTTTAACTTTTCTGTTTCTCAGGTTAGCCGCCTGAGAAGGTACAATCATAATAAAGCCTGCTGCACAGGGGTGGTTTGGAAACTACAGGCATGTCTACACATGAACCTTCACCTGTAAAAAGGTAGGAGGTATATTTAAAGCAGATTATCTGTTTGCACTGATGTCCCCGGGCCAGAACTATGCAAGTCTCTCCCCGTGTTTTGCTGCAGGCATTAGCCTAAATACAAACTCCTTTGTAGATAATAACATCCAGGCAAAACAGGAAGCAGCGATAAACTTTCTAGCTTCTGATGGCTAATGCTGCATGTCCACTAGGGGGATTCTGCTAGCATAGCTAATACTGGCATAACTATCCAGCCACAGGAGTTATCATGTAGGCAAGTTCTCCATGTCTGTAGGTGGGAGGTCACAATGCCGGGGCAGTTCTTCTCGGCAGTGTCTAGACTGCAAGCCTCTTTCAAAAGAGGCTTTTTCGAAAGATACTTTCGAAAAAGCCTCTTTCCAAAAAGAGCGTCTAGACTACAACCAGTACTTTCCAAAAAGCAAGCCGCTTTTTAAAAAGAGAGCACCCAGGCAGTCTGGATACTCTCTTTCAAAAAAGCACAGTCTGGATTATATAGCATCTTTTTTCGAAAGTGCACTTTCGGAAAAAGGCGTTCTTCCTTGTAAAATGAGATTTTCTGCGGTCGAAAAAACTGCCGTGTTCTTTTGGTTTTCTTTCGAAAGACTGCGGCAGCAGAGGCAAGAGACAGGTGTCTCGAGCAGCTAGGCACAAATTCTGGGCCCATGTCAGAACATACCTATAGTAACCTCACGAAGCTCTAGAGGTGGGAAGCAGTGCTTATAGCAACCAAAACAAACAACCCAGGACTTGGATCACTAAGTGGTTTTGCTGTGGTCTCTTTCCTTCTCCCCTGGATTGCCAGTAGGGAAATCTTTGGCCGGATGGGGCTGTCTTTCTTCTCCCACCCCTTGGCAGACAGCTCCCTTTTGGAGCAGCCTTTTAACATTTTTCTTGATTTTCTTAAACAGCGAACATTAGACACATTAAGAACAGCAACAACAAAATCATTAAGCACTGTAACATTCTCCTAGGAGCCAGTCTTATCCTTTAATCAGGTTATGGAAAATTCATTCCTCTTCTAGCCATTTATCTTCTTTGTTTATGCACACACCAAGTGACCCACTTCTGAGCAACAGAAACAACAAACAATGAAAGATTCACTATATATGGATTTATGTTCTCTTTGTTTTGTTTTATTGGGAGCCAAATAATCAAGTTCATCCATTCTAATTAAACCTAGCATGTGCTAATTATCTATCAATTCTATCATAAAGCCTGATTCTCTCCCGCTGAAGTCAGTACGAGTTTTGCCAATGACCTCAGTGGGAAAAGGATTGAGTTCAGCTTCTTCTATAATGATTGATTATTTATATTAAAAGGGAGAAGCATGGGCTGAAAGCAGAAGTACGTCGGGCCTGCGAATAGAAGACATACGCTCCAACCAGAGTCTGCAGCTAGGAGGAGTGGCTGCAGAACAGCAGTGTACTCTTGGGGGAATGGGGTAAAATGGGGACCAGCTAGTACCACTCCTATCCCCAGAACTATGCAGTGGAGACTCCCAACATCTGGCGAAACTAGGATTCGGGCGGTGTCTCTTCCTTCCTTCTTTCCTATGACACGTGGTAGGATGGAGGAGAGGGGAGGGGAAAAGAAAGTGCAAAAAGAAACTCAAAAAGAGGCTCAGGAAGCCAAAGGCCATTCAGAGAACTTTCCACAGTTGTGCCCTGACATTCTCTTCCTTGTGCTGTTTGGCTTTTTGCTCCAACCCTCTTGCTCACGTCCCTTCATTTCAGCTTCACTTCTCACCTGCCCATCTTACCCTTTTCTCCCCATCCCCATCCCACTCACCTCTCTTGCCTTCAGCGTCACTTGCATGTAATTTTAGTAACACTGATAGGAAAAAAACTAAGCGGGGGATGGAAACAAGCAGGATCTGGCAAACCTGTGTGTGGGCAAAATACCTTGCATGCCATACATAGAACCCTGTGGGCCACAGGTTGCCCAGCGCTGATTTAAACATTGCAGCATCATGCTAACTAACACATGATGAAGCTAACTAGTAACTGAGCATAAACACAACTGAAATAGATAAGTATCTGAGAGAAATGCAAAAAGTAAACCGCATAAATGGAGGGAAAGTAATTTTAAATTGTCAATACTGATAATAAAAATTGCTAGTAAATAATACAAGTAAGTATTAAAAAAACCTTGAGTTTACCTTTGTTTAAATGGAATATATTGTAGTCTTTTGCAGTTTCCTTGTTGCTCAACATTTTCACAAATAATGAATTATAGTTAGATTTTGACATTTTTGGACTAAAGATGAACTTCTGTTGTAGCCAGTGAAGGTCACCTCAACTGTTTAAATTTTTCATTCTATTACAAAAACTGAAATGTTTGGGGTTTTTATTGTTCCTATTAAATTTTTTTGTTCAGTCCAAAGAAAATGAAAGTTTAAGTTGACTCACTGTTAAGTGTGACTAGAAACCCACCAGTGGCTGATATACAGTATTTAGAGTTGTTGAAAGAGAACAGTAAGAGAATATCAGTAGGATAAAAGAAATAGAGCAAACCCTGGAACAAATAAAACAAATAAAAGGAAGTTCTTCTTCACACAGCACACAGTCAACCTGTGGAACTACTTGCCTGAGGAAGTTGTGAAGGCTAAGACTATAATAGGGTTTAAAAGAGAACTAGATAAATTCATGGAGGTTAAGTCTATTAATGGCTGTTAGCCAGTATGGGTAAGGAATGGTGTCCATAGCCTCTGTTTGTCAGAGGGTGGAGATGGATGGCAGGAGAAAGATCGCTTGATCGCTACCTGTTCTGTTCACTCCCTCTGGGGCATCTGGCATTGGCCACTATTGGCAGACGGGACAGTGGGCTGGATGGACCTTTGGTCTGACCCAGTATGGCGATTCTTATGTTCTTATGTTCTGGAAGATGAAGAAGAATAAATGATGAATATTGGCAAGGGATAAAAAAGGTTTTTTGTTACCATGTATAATATAACCTTGCATTGGCAGTAACTTGGCTCCCAATAAGAAGCTTGTGCTTTTCTTTCATGCTTTATTTAATATCTCCAGAACCAAGTGCATTTCTGAAACTTAGCATATAGGATGCCAAAGTATTTATCCATGGGGACTGGCACTGATGACAGTGGCTTAATCAGTCTCTCTCCTCTAGCAGAAATTTTTCAGTGCAAGGTCTGAAGATACTTCAAGTGGATGCATTTTCTATTTTTATTTCCTGAATTATTACTGGATGTGAATGTCAATAATAGATAAACATATCGCAGACAGACTCAGCAAGTTCTCACTCAGCTGCCCCTGGAGAGCCACCCCTCAAATGATATCTCAGTGAGGGTGACAGATCTCCCTGGAGGGGGAAGGGAGACAAATATCCCTCCACTTGACCAACCCCTGACCTGAATTATCTGATGAATTTACCATCTTCAGTGCAGCTAGGGGAACATAATTAATTTGTTGCTGAGGACCAGTTACTGTATTTACAGCGAACATTAGAGTAAATCTTTTCACAAATGAAATAATATTGTTTCCTAACAGGAAAATGAGTGCATATTGCATATCAGCGTCCAGCAATTGCGGCTGAGCAGAGCTGGGAGTTGGGGGAGATAATTAGTATTTAATTTAAATCACTAAGAATAATTTGTTACTTGACATGTATTTCAGGATTGGAGGGACTTTTAAAAACTGTCCATGGGAAACTTATTAAATGGCTGCATGAAAAATAAAGGTACCAGAAGATGACACGAGAAGGGGTCTGCACTGCAATTGAATCCAGATTCCTATGCAAGTAGCATCCACTGTTCTATTTAAATAGCAATGCAAGGGTCTGTGCCTGGACTCATCCTGATTTACAGAACCTCAAGATCTGGCCCGGTGTTTTCACAGCATTTTCCAAACATTAATTCATTAATTCTCGCAACACTGACATGAGGCAGGAAAGTAGCGATTGTTATCCCCGCTTTACAGATTGGGAAACTGATGCAGAGAACTTAGGTGGTTTCTCAGGTGGAGGCTGGAGCCATGTGAGGATTGTGCCTATGCTGCAGCTGATGGGGTATTGCAGCTTGTGGCTAAGCTAGATAGCATGGCTAGAAATAATAATGATACAGTGGCACAGACTCTGTGCAGGCTAGGAGTGTGAGTTTGTACTCAGGTTCCTGGGCCACTGCATTATTTGGCTGCTCTAGCTGGATTAAAGCTAGTAGTGCCACTGGCTGAACTGCATTAAAGACATACCTTTAATGTTAGCAGGCAAAAAGTGCCTGAGTTCCAAAATGCCTGCAGAGTCATTCTACAGCAGCAGGTAAAGATAAGAATGTGTCAGCATCAAAATCAGGCAGGCAAGCCTGGCTCTGAGGGGTCTCCTCTTGATTTGTCCAAGGCGATAGAAGAGGTCAGTAACATCCAAGGTGGGATTAGAACTGAGCAATGCCTGTCAGGCTCCACTGCCAAGCATTATGCTCAGCTCACACTGCCTGATTGATAAGGGTGGTGTATTTAGCTACCCGAAGATGTTTTCTGTGAACTACACTTGGAAGTGTATAGTGGGTCTGTTAGCCAGTTTCCCGTATGACTTTGTGCTTATGGAGCAAATCCCACACACTATGCTCACACATGGAGACTTTGTATTTGTTCTCATTTATGCCATTTCCCTTAACCTAAAAGAAACTAGGCTGAAGTTATATGTTTACTAAGTGTCTATGGAAGAACAACTTTTCTCTCTGCCTCCAAGAATAAGAAATTATTCTATTTTACTTTGTACATTTTTGATAGGAAAATCCATTATAGAAGAACTATGAAAGAGAAATTTTAAGGAACAGACACCCCAAGCCTGCCACATTTGGGTACTTGTGATAATAGTGTAGTTGTGTATGACACATTCAAAAGGAGCCTTGATCTATCATCACCGATGTAGTCAGTACGACAGTGCGTAGAAAGGGAATAAACTATGTGGGATTTATGAGAAAAATATCTGTGGTTTTCAGCATGTGTTAGTATCTCACAGTTATTTAGCTCCTTTCATCAGGATGGCTATGTCTCAGGCCTGTGGGGTCAACATGCCACCTTCATGTGGAATTATGAATAGGTCACTAGTTCACTTTAGACATAAAACATCAATATAGGGAAAGGAACAGTAATATCAATGGAAGAAAGTGTTTTGATTTCGTTTTTCTTCTGGTACCA